GCGGGGGGCGGGTTGTCCCAGAGTCTAAATGCTCCGGGAGAAATTAAATTTCAGGAATCTTTTCATTCCAAGATGGAAGTGGGCTCAGGTTCCCTTGAATGCGTTTAGAAACCCAGAGATAAAAAGTTCCACCGGCAAGAGTTTAAACTTTGGAAGGGGGCGGAGGGAGGGGGAATTTGCCCGAGATCTTTAACTAACCCCTCAGCATCAAGTATTTGTTAAACTGACGCGACACACATTTCCCGACCACCGCGGCAAAGTGGGACTGAAAGGCGTCGTAAAGCCCACCCGAACCCTGCCCAAAGCGCCCATTCTTTCCCAGCTTAATTTATGCAGCTCCAGTCTGTCTCTGGGAAATCAGGCAGAAAGCACTTTTCTTCTCGTCCTTCTTCTTCTTGTTCTTGTTGTTTCTTTCTCTCTCCTCCCAAGTCTGCCCTGTCCCGGTCCCGCTTTCAAACGCCAGCTAGCTAACCAGGGGACTGTTTAACTCCCCGTGTTTCTATAGGAGCCTGTTGTAGTTTAACTCCTGCGCACCAGTAGCTGGGGGGAACAAAGGAGAGACGCGAGGTCCAACTATTCATCCTTTCTTTGCACTTTAATTTTCATTGATTGGGAAGACAAGGGGAGCCCTTAGGGACTCAAGCTGAAGGGGGATGACACGCCTTTAGACGCCATCAGCCCCCTAGCCAGCCATCTGCTCAGAACCAAATGGCGTTTTTTCACTCCAAGCTGCATGTCTCTATACTCTGAACCCAAATGCAGGAGGGCGCTTGAGTTAGAGTGTGTTAAATAGACGCCCTCCTGTCCACACACCATAAATCCTCACCTTGCTCATTAGGAAAACTCGGAAACTTTCTTTTAAATACTTTTTGATGTCTTAGCAAATCCACTGCACAAAGTAAGGGTCATGAGGGTTTAAGAGGCTCCCAATACATCAGAGGCCAGGGTGGGGGGCAGGGTCTGATGCCTGGAGGTGGCTGTGAGTGGAGTGGGCTCAGGCTGTGTGGCAAGCAGGCCTCACCCACAGCAGCTTGTGTCCCACCTGGCATCTTGGTCTCCAGTTCCTGCGGCCTGGCCAGTCTCTCTACCATGTCACTAGGCCACCTGGGAAGCCAAACCCTGAGCGGTCACTGCCCCCATCACACTGTTTCCAGCTCCAGCAGTGTGCTTGCCCCATTGCTGTGGTCACGCAGCCCCACTCCACCCCTCTCTGTCAATCCACAGCGAGGTTCTATTCTGAAGGTGTGAAAGGGGGTGTGCGAGGGGCACATTGCAGCCACCAGTGCCCCCAGAACCGGCTGCAGACGCTAAGGTTCAGCTTTCTGTGTAAACAAGTCTGGAGACTTGAGTGGGTTTGTGTGTTTTCTCAGGCCAACTGAGCACTGTATACCCAACAGAGAGCGTCTCTCATGCCTGCGAAGAATCAGGGGATTTGTTCTGAACAACAAGATAAAAAACTTCCAGGAAGCAAATCTGGTGTTGATCAAACATGCCAGCTTACTGGAGACAGAGAAAGGGTCTTAGAGTGTGTTTATTAATTAGCATTAGCATCACATCTCCCACCAACATCCTTTCTGCTCATTCTTCACCAGGCCAAGCTCGTACAGCAGTGAAGACTCCAGAGGGACTGGCCTTCGTGCTGCGGGCATGTCTGTGTGTGTGTAGCTATTATGCATACACTTGTTTCAGAAGGTTGGCACCCCAGGGACTCGGGAACACAAGCCTCCTTGACCTCTGCCCCTCCTCCCTGAGCCTCGCCTCTAACCAGCGGCGCCGGCTCGGGTCTGCTAGCTGGTACCCGTGGACCGCACAGCGGAGCAGAGCAATCGCTCGGTCTGCACGCGGGGAAAAGGAGGGTGCGGTGACTGGGAAAGGAGGGTGCCTTGCTCCAAGGAGCCAGTGCAGCGCATTCGCTGTTGCCTGGCGCGCTCCCAGCGGCGACTGGCGGCTGGGGCGGGGGCGCGCGGGGAGCGGCGGCGGGTTGTGTGGACCCAAGTGGAGGAGCCCAGCTGACTAATTTGTTGCGGATTGGGAGCGCGAGGCCAGGAAAGACCGAATGGCTGCGGCCTGGTGCTTCTCCGAGGACGCACTAACTTCCCCCAAGGGACAGGGTCTCCAGCGTGTAACAACAGCCTTTTCACCTTTCTCATGGAAACGGAGGCCTTGAGGAGGAAGGAATGTTCCAGGCCCACGTGGTGGGGCAGCGGGGGGGGGGGGGGTATCGGCGGAGGAGGAGTCTGAGTCACCAGACCGCGGGCAGGGACACACGAAGCACCTCATCCTGCCCGTGGAGTGGAGGGAGACTTGGGGCACAGCCGCAGGTTTGCAAAGGCATGTGCTGATTTGAATGAGAAAGGGCGAGTCGCGTGGCTCAGCTGGCTGGCCGGCCCTCTGCCCCTGGCTGGCCGCGCGGGTTGTCTGCTCCTGCGCCGCAGCGCCTCATCTCCATGACAAAGCGCGCGTGTTTACCTGTGAGCCCGGCCTTGGCGGCCGCCTTTGTCTGCAGATCAGATTACAGCGGCCAGCTGCTCCGCGGTCCCTCCGCTCTGCTCCCGGTGGACGCGCGCGGCGGGGGCCGGAGGGGCCGCCTATTGTCG